CATTCAAAAGTTTAATACAAGACTATGTTTCCAAGTAGATAAAAGTTTTGGTATAAGAATGGAATCTAATGCAATATGGAATGATTGCTGGAATTAAGCATCCAGGAATTATACTAATTATAGATAGTCAGCATGATTGATACAATCCTGCAGATATTCCGTCTGATTGATTTTATTCTGATTTCACGTAACACTTGATTGTATTTCCTTTATTTGTTCTTTTGCTCTTGTATAAATACATCACTGTAAAGACTAATACACAATTCAATACAGACATTACAATTGAATCCTCTCTTTTATTTCTTGGCATTCTTCGGCAATACAATTGCTTCTTTTGCCTCTTCTTGCTTAGAATCTGACACGGTATCAAAGCAAACATGTTAATTTCGCTTCCGCCCAGCAATCCTCTCTAGCCAATTTTCTAGAACCTACAAAATAAGGCACTTGGATTAGTCTCTTTATTCTCCAAACAAATCGAAATACCAATTTCTTTTTTCTTTTACTCATGGATCCAAAAGACAACAGCCAAATCACAACTGCACTAGCTCTAGGCCTAACAGCATCCACAACCACATCAAACGAGCCTACACAACAGCCAAATCAAGATCAAAATTCTGAGTCAAGTCCAAATTCTGGACCAGCCCAATACGGCCGAATCCCATTCGGAAAACCATTTTGTTAAGATCAAAGTCAAGTCAATCGATTAGAATTTTAAAAAAAAATGTGGAAAGAATCATTTACCTTCCCACATAAAAGGTAGTCAATCTAAATTTAAAGTTAATAGCAACTTTTGAATAATTTCATATATGTTATTGCTAGATTAAAAAAAATGTAAAAGTATACTACAAACTAAAAACTGCATTATGGCAAATAACAGTATTTAAACTAGAGAGATGTTTGTTTCAAAGAGAAATTTCCTATAATTTTAGATGTGTTATATATGAAATTATATCATCCAATATCATAGAATGACATTGAAATTATGAGAGTGAGAATGTAAATGAACTAATAGTTTGGAGTTTGAAGGTCTAGGGTTTCACCATTCAAAACTTTACTATAAGACTACGTTTCTGAGTAGATAAAAGTTTTTTCGCTCTAAGAATGGAATCATTTATCACTTTGCCTGATGAATAAGAAATACAATCTGTTGAATTATTCAAATTTCTATTTTTTAGTGGTCTAAGGACTAAGGGAGATGAATTTCATCAAGTTCCCTTCCTTGTAATGAAGAGTCATTAAAGATCCAAGGCAGAGGGTTCTTTTGAAGAGAAAATTAAAAAAGATTGGACTAGAGGTACAGGTCAACCACCAAAAAAATTCTATGGAAAAGGGCATTGACAGCCTGATCATTCAAGAATTATATAGGCACTGAGCAATTTACAAGTCAGCGAATGCAATTCCACATACCCGGACCCAATAAGAAATTCAAGCCCATTAAAACCTAATGACATTATAAGTCAGTCTAAACACATAAAATAACCCAACCCAATGAAGTTATGAATCAGTCAAAAGGCTTTTGCTCATTTTAATTGTATTTGTAGTTGGTTATGCCTTTGGGACCTCAAATGACAGTCCGGTCCACCGCTGTCATGATTGAGACCTCAAACTGTTGTAATCGGAGAAGAAAGACAAAGGCAAATAAAGGAAAGTAAGGGCTAAAGGACAAAAAATAAAGGCCGAATGACATGCATCAACCCATAGTTTGCCATAAAGACAAGTTGGTATCCAAAAATTTGAAAACGACAATTACCTACCTTCCGTCCAAATTTGTTAGTAAAACCTTTTTAAATAAGGACAATATAGTAATGTAATATCCAACAAAAAAAATATAGCATTTGCATTGACCACGGGTCCATTTTCTCTCTATAATATTAATTTTATAAAAATCTTCCTTCTCAATTTCAATTATTTTATTTTTATAATTAATTTTAATTAAAATTCTGTCTTCATCTTCTTCGTCTCTCGCCAAAACGACAGTCACCCAGAACTAGGACAACAACCCGCAAAACCTCAAACAAGTGGTGTGCCAAAACCTGGAAAATCAATCATCAATGCCAAAACCGATCGAAAATCCCCAAAAATCAAACAAAAACACAGAAAAAACACTCCCAATTAATCTCCAACAATCAATTTCCAATTAGAAACTCTGAAAAACACCAATCAATCCCAATTCAACAAACAACAAAAACCCTAGGAATTCAATCGGCGGTGAAAGGTGAGCAAATGGCGAAGAGAAACATGGGGGTTTTGGAGAGGGCACACCGAAAAGAAGATTGGCAGGGAGAGGAAAGGTTTCCGATGATGGG